TGTTGTTTTCAAAGTCCTCGTTTACATTTATACAAAAATTCGCACACACACATACCAAACACACACTCATTCACTCACACACACATACACGCTAATACACACTCACATAAACACATATACTTTCTCTCCACACACACACACACGCGCACACACATACAAACTCACATAAACACTTATACTCTCTCTCCACACACACACACACACACACACACGCACACACACATACATACATACTTTCTCTAACATACATACACGCACACACACACATACACACACATACTCTTTTTCTCACACACGCACGTACACATACATACATACATACATACATACATACATACATACTCTCTCTCTCTCTCTCTCTCTCACACGCACACATACTCACACACATACACAGAGCAGTACGTGAACTTCAGAGGTCGCAGGAATCCACAGGCCGTCCTCATCATCTCCTATGAGACATTCAGGATGCACGCTGATGTCCTACACAAGGGAGTAGTCGGTCTGGTCATTTGCGATGAGGTGGATGAATGAATGAATGAATGAATGAATGAATGAATGAATGGATGGATGAGTGAATAGATGGATGGATGGGTGGATGGATGGATGGGTGGATGGATGAATGAATGTGTGGGTGGGTCGATCTGGTCAAATGCGATGAGGTGGACGTCTTTCGTTTTGGATGATTGGATGGATGGATTTATGAATGAATGAATGGGTGAATTGGTAAGTAGATGGATGGTGAGTAGATAAATGGATGGATGAAAAAATTATTTTTAAATGAAAAATGAATCCGGCTGGCGAATATCTTTTAACATTCTGCTATCACCTTCATGACGTTATTGTCAACTGGATCATTACCGGCACCGCACTTAACGTCATCACCATCATCATCACCACCACCACCCTCCTCTCTATCCTTCCTCATCATCATCACCATCGTCGTATTCAGGGCCATAGGCTGAAGAACAATGAGAACCAGACGTATCAGGCGCTGATGAAGCTGAATGCAGAGCGCAGAGTACTTCTATCTGGCACACCCATCCAGAACGATCTCCTCGAGTACTACAGTCTCGTGCATTTCGTCAATAGGGATATTTTAGGTGAAACTTTATATTTCTATTTCGTTCTCTCTCTCTCTCTCTCTCTCTCTCTCTCTCTCTCTCTCTCTCTTTGTCTTTCTTTGTCTTTCTTTCTCTCTCTCTTTCTCTCTCTTTGTTTTTTCTCTTGATATTTTAAGTGAAACTTTTAAACTTTTAATTTTCTATTTTGTTTACTTCGTTCTTTCTAACTCTCTATCTCTCTCTTTCTCTCTCTTTCTCTCTCTTTGTCTTTCTCTCTCTTTGTCTTTTCTCTTTCTCTCTCTCTCCTCTCTCTCTCCTCTCGTTCTATTTATTTCAACAGGTACTGCCCAGGAGTTTAAGAAAAAATTTGAGACGCCGATATTGAGAGGGAGAGATGCTGACGCAAGTGAGAGTGATCATCTTAAAGGGAAGGAGAAGTTGCAAGAGGTGAGGGTATGAATGAGTGAGTGAGTCAGTGAAAGTGTTATTAAATTAATTAATGAGTGAATGATTAAATGAATGAATAAATGATTGTGTGAAAGATTAAGCGAATGATTGATTGAATTATCAGAAAACCATCTAATGTTTCCGTTTGTTTGTATATTGTTTTTAGCAACAACACATACCTACACGCACAACACACACATAAAAACACACACACAGCCAAAACAAACACACACAGACACATACAACCAAAACACACACTTATACACATACACGCAGCTCCTATCTATAGTTAACAAATGCATCATCCGACGAACCCAGGCCCTACTAACGCAGTATCTACCAGTCAAATGTGAGATCTCTCTCTCCCTCATTATCATAATTTATTCATCGTATTCAAATTTTCAAGATGAATATTTTTCTATTCTTATGTGTGTTATAATGGGTATAGTATGTTTAGATACATTTATTGAATCGCATTAGTTTAAATTCACACGCACACACAAATACACACACACACGTACGTCATCATCCTCTCACCCCACAGATGAACAGGTTGTATGTTGCAGGCTGAGTGACATGCAACAGCAACTCTACAGAAAGGTCATCACCTCGAAGGTCACACTGAATGCCCTCTTAAAGGCAGGTCAGCAGGGGTCAACATCGTCATCATCGTCGTCGTCGCTAGCTTCCATTACGAATTTGAAAAAACTTTGCAATCGTGAGTTGTCATCATCATTATTATTATTATCATTATAAATTCACATACACACAATACGCACACGTACATACACACACACGCGCGCGTACATAAACACACACACGCACGTACACACACGCACAAACAATCAGACCCAGACCTGGTTTTCGAGAAGTGTTTGAATGGTGAGGACGGTTTTGAGGATTGTTCCTCTATCTTCCCACACGGATACAAACCGTCACAAGTCTCTCCCGCCATGTCAGGTCACGTGTCATTTCACGATGATGATGTTGATGATTGGTATGATGATGATGATGATTGGGATGACTGTTATGAGGACGATGATGGAGAGAGAGTAAGAGAAAGAGAGAGAGAGAGAAAGAGAGAGAGAGAGAGAGAGAGATAATCATGTGTTTGATTGAATGTTGTGACTTGATAGCATTTTCTATTGTATTAATAATAATTGTTATAACAGCAACAACAATAATAATAATAATAACAATAATTATGATAGCAATAATTTTAATAATAATAATGTGACAATGATGATGATGACGATGATGACGACGACGATGATGATGATGATATGGTATCCAGGAAAGTTCCAGGTCTTAGATACCCTACTTGCACTCATTAGAACGACAACCAATGATAAGGTCGTACTGGTGTCAAACTATACACAGACGCTGGATCTGTTTGAGAAGCTCTCTAGACAAAGAAAGTTTGTATGTTTGTATGTTTGTTTGTATATTTTTGATTGTATGTTTGTATGTTTGTTTGTATATTTTTGATTGTTTGTTTGTTTGTTCGTATGTTTGTTTGTTAGTTTGTATATTTTTGATTGTATGTTTGTTTGTTTGTTTGTTTGTAGGTTTATTTGTTGTTGTTTATTTTGTATCTCGTTGTATTTTTGTATGTTGTCATTCGTTGTATGTATGTTTGTTTGTATGTTTGTTTGTTTGTTGTTTATTTTGTATGTCGTTGTATGTTTGTATGCTGTTATCCGTTGTATGTCTGTCGTTGGTAATGTTAATATCACTGGAGTATTGTTATTTTTTTGTTTGCCATTTGTATGTTGTCTGTATTTCGCGGTTTGTTTTGTATGTTTGTTGG